TTTTTTCTGTGTTTTCTTTGGTCTGTCTCTCAATCCTTTGAAGATACCTAAATAAAATTCTTTTAAATTCCTTATCAGAGAGTTCCAATGCTGCTTCTTCCTCAGGGGTGTGTTCTGGGTCTGTATCCTGTTCCCTTGTTTCTACCACTTTATCCTGCTTCTTTGTGTGGACGTTGATGGTCTGTTGTCTCTGACACATCATGGTATTGTAATAAGATCTCTATTAACTGTGAAGAGCAGCTAAGGGTGATTCAGGCTCTTCTTGGTGGTTTTTTATTGTTGGCCCATTGGTGGAGAAGGAGGTGGTGTCTCTTGCTAAGTAAGTGATGTTGCAGGAGGTGTGGATGTAGTTGTATCTTATGTTGCTGTCTCACACTCAGTTAGACAAAAATTACAATTGAATAACCACCAAAAATGTAAAAGCACAAAGACAAAAATACACCATGTAATCACACAGGAACAGTAACCAAAACAAGAAAAAAAGGAGAAAAGAAGAAAAAAGCAAGAAAACCTGCAATATCTGGGGATAGGGCATTAAGAGTAAAAAGGTAGAGAAGGAGAATAATGAAGAAAAAAATGGGAAAATGCAAAATAAAATAAAATAAAATAAGGAACAGGGTTAACCACAAAAAAAAAAGGAAACAAAAAAAATTTTAATTAAAAAAAAATTTTTAACCCAGAACAGGAAAAAGAAAAAAAAAGGTGTAAACTAGGACCTTTGCAGTCGTGCAGGTCTGGAGTGTCCTTGGGGTTACTGGAAAGCCGAACCTCTTCTTAAGCCCCTGGAATCTCGGAGAGCACCGTCTCTTTAAATATCCAACATGGTCAAGCCGCTTGTAAACATTCAAAATGGCAGCACCCTCTGGACAGGCAAAAGTCCACAGCTCAGCCCATCTTTCTCTTCACCACTGCTTCCCCTTTTATTCCACAACCACCAGAGCAGTCCTCTGTGCAATTCCTGGCTAGCAGGCTGATTTTTAGGTTAATTCTTAGGTCTCACCACCACTCGGGAATCTCCTAGCTGTCTGTGCCATCAGGATCGCTCAGGATCACTGCTAGACCGCAGCTCCATATGTCTCCTTTTTTGGTATTTTCATGCAAATTCTTCTGCTGGTTGGGTTTTAGTCTACTTCTATATCCTTCCCTTCAAAGCTCAGGGGTCCAGGATTATCTTCTGTGTCTGTGTTAATTGGTTTCCCTTTTCTTTGTTGAAGAGGGTCTGTGCAGCCTTTCTGCCTATTCCACCATCTTGGAATCAGTCCATGAACAAAATTCTTAACAACAACCTTATAAAACATTGACAAGTTTTATAAGGTAATTTCTAACACCCACTACTGCCATTGAGTTGATTCTGAGTCATAGTGACCCTACTGGACAGAGTAGAACTGCCCAGAGAGTTTCCAAGGCTGTAAATCTTTATAGAAACAGACTGCCTCATAGCTACTCTTGTGGAGTAGCTGGTGGGTTCGAAATGCTGACCTTTAGGTTGCAGCCAAATGCTTAACTACTGTACCACCAGAGCTCCTTAGTGCCCCTCAATGTAGGCTAATGATAACAAAGTTAGGTAACTGACACTGGACAATTTTTGAGATACTGCATTTATAAATAGTTGCATGTTTCTTAGAAACAAAAGGAATATAATAGCAAAAGGAAGGATGATCTGTCTGTAACTCTCTTGCACTGGCCCCGCATTCACTACATTCAATGCAGGGCCAACCATTAAAAGATATACAATGAATGATATTAAACACACAGAGATTTACACTGCATCACAAAATGCCAAAGATGATGAACAACTGTGAAAGAGACAAATTTATATAAAATGAAAAAACTGCAGAAGGTGAGATAAATGACAAAGGGAAGGGGAATATCTCAATTTTCTTTCCTTACTCCATTAGGTGCAACTATTAAAGGTTTAGAGCAGGACATCTGATAGGACAGAAGGTTACAAAACTGAAAGAATCTGTAGGGCATACAATTCATTTAAACTTTTTGACTTGAAAAAAGTTTTGGGGAGATTCTATGGGATTTTGTGCTTCTCAAGATTCTGTGGTCTTTTTGTTTCTTGGGCCATGAAGGACCCTTGTTTAGAAAACTCATTTGAATCTTGAACACTAAAAGAGTTGAAAGTTGCTGCTCAAAATTGCTTTAGGTTTAAGCTTAAGGGAAATAGCTTGTATTTAGTTCTATACTATGTACCCAAATCACTGACATAGGAATGAAATTACAACAAAACAAAGATAACAACAAAACAAAATGGAGGTTTCAGAATAAATACTCTGTCCAGAAATAAAGAATAAGTATTTGATTGTTGTTTCTTTATGTTTCATTCTCAAGATCTTCAGAGGATTGAGCAGTTGATGAAGAATCTCAACACTTATTAATTTCACATAATATTCATTACTAGGTAGTAAAAGGAAGGTCTAGCAGAGGAGCACTGCTATTACACAAGAAAAACTGTTAAACAAATATAATTTTCATAATAAAAAAATCTTTAAAATAAAGACATTTAAAATATGTAGTTTTGATTGAAAAGATAAATATTTACATATATTACACTCAAGATAGCCAACCAATTAGGTGGAAAGTGTTTCAATCTAATCCCAACATAAAGAATTCCATAGTGCCTAAGGCATTTGACTGCTAACCAGAAGGCTGGCATTTCAAACCCACCAGCCACTCCTTGGAAGGATGATAACCCAAGGAGGGGTCACTATGAGTCGGAAACAACTCCAGGGCAATGAGTTTGGTTTTTGAGAATGTAAATATACTACAATCATTACATACATGTATTCTCAATTACATAACTAATCATATTACAAATTTTTGACAGAGCAGACTTACTCTGCGTAGGGCATTTTGAAAATCATTCGCCAGGTCTAAAGTTGTGATGATAAATACTCCAAGAACTAAAAGTCCCCCTGGTAGCATTCTTGACACCTGAAAATAGAAGTATAATATTAGCTAACACATGCATTTAGCATTATACACATTCCTTTCTGTCTGAGAATCTGAATCAGCAAATGGTTACTGAGTACCAACTATATGCACAGCACTGAAGTGGTGGATTTTAAAAGACTGAAAGTAATAGTAAGAAAAAGATGGTAGCCAAGATGAAGGGGTTCTTACTATATCACCATTTTTCTAGCATAGCAGCTCTGGTGATGCTGTGGTAAAGGCATTGGGTTGTTAATCAATAGCTCAGCAGTTCAAACCCACCAGCTGCTCTGTGGGAGAAAGATGAGGTAGTCTGCTTCTATAAAGATTTACAGCCTTGGAAACCCAAAGAGGACTACTATAAATTGGAATCAACTCAATAGCAGTAGGTTTTTCTAGAGTGTCCTTAACATTTTACCATATGTGATAGGGTGAATGTGTTTCGCTTGTGGCAAGGACATACATTTTTTGGGGCCAAAGGGTGGAGTCTTATGGATTCAATTATGTCCCCAAAAATGTGTGTCCTAAATCCTAACCTCTGTGTCTGTTGTTATAATCCCATGGGGGAATGGTCTGTGTTTGTCATTTTATCGAAGTAGGATTAGGGTAGGGTGTGCCTTAAATCAATTTCTTTTGAGATGTAAAAAAATCAAGCCAAGAGAAACAGAGATGGAGGAAGAGAGATGCCAAGCCCACGATTTCCAGGAGCAAAACCTCAGACACAAGGACCTTCCCCTTGAGCCTGCAAAGATAGCCTTCCCCTAGAGCCAACATACTGAATTCAGGCTTCCAGCCTTCCAAACCGTGCCAAACTAAATATTAAAGCCACACATTTACAGTATTTCTGTTATAGCAGCACTAAACTAAGATATAATAAAAGTATTTTGTAAATAGAACCACTTAAAAGTGACATCCTCTAGCAACATCAATAAATAAACCCTTTTCTCATGAAATCAAAGTCTTAAATACCTTCTAATTTTTTTTCAGTGTTGTTGTTAAGTGTCTGATCCTGTACCATCCTCACAATTGTTGCTATGCCTGAACCCATTATTACAACCACCTGAACCCATTATTACAACCACCGTGTCAATTCATTTTGTTGAAGGTCTTCCTCTTTTTTGCTGACCCTGTATTTTACCACACATGATATCCTTCTCCAGAGACTGATCCCTTCTGACAACATGACCAAAGTACAAGAAGTAAAGCCTATCATCCTTGCTTCTAAGGAGCAATCTGGCTGTATTTTATCCAAGACAGATTATTTTTGTTCTTTTGGCTAGCCATGGTATATTCAGCATTCTTTGCCAATACCATAATTCAAATGCATCAATTCTTCCTCAGTCTTCCTTATTTATTGTCCAGCTTTTGTATGCACATGAAGTAAATGAAAGAACCATGGCTTCAGTTAGGCACACCTTAGTCTTCAAGGTGACATCTCTGCACTATTTGTTGTTGTTGTGTGCCATCAAGTCGGACCTGACTCTTTAAAAAGGTCTTTTGCAGATTTGCCAAATGAAATACTTCATTTGATTTCCTGACTGCTGCTTCCATAGGCATTGGTTACGTTTCCAAGTAAAATGAAATCCTTGACAAGTTCAATCGTTTCTGCATTTATCATAACGTTTGTTACTTATTGGTCCAGTTGTGAAGATTTTTGTTTTTTTCTATATTGAAGTGTAATTCACACTAAAGGCTATAGTCTTTGATCTTAATTAGTACAAGCTTCAAGTCCTCTTTACTTTCAGTAAGCAAGGCTGTGCCATCTGCATATCACAGGTTGTTAAGTCTTCCTCCAATCGCCATGTTGCATTCTTCTTTCTCTTTCTATAGTCCAGCTTCTCCAATTATTTGCTCTGCACAGAGATTGAGTAAGTAGAGTGAAAGGATACAACCTGACACACCTTTCCTGATTTAAAACTATGCAGTATCCTCCTATTCTGTTTGAATGACTGCCTCGTGGTCTATGTACAGTTTCCACATGAGCACAACTACAAAAAACTCACTGTTGTTGAGTTGGTTCCAACTCATAGCTTCCCCTCCTTGGGTTTACAAGGTGGTATCTCTACGAAGTAGATTTCCCAGTCTTCCTTCTGAGGAGTGGCTGGTGGGTTTGAACTGCCAGCCTTCTGGTTAGCAGTCAAATGCCTTAGGTACTACGCCACCAGAGCTCCTATAAACTCACTGTTGTTGAGTTGGTTCCAACTCATAGCTTCCCCTCCTTGGGTTTACAAGGTGGTATCTCTACGAAGTAGATTTCCCAGTCTTCCTTCTGAGGAGTGGCTGGTGGGTTTGAACTGCCAGCCTTCTGGTTAGCAGTCAAATGCCTTAGGTACTACGCCACCAGAGCTCCTATTGAGCACAATTAAGCGTTTTGTAATTCCCATTCTTTGCAATGTGCAGTGCAGTAAATTGCTTAATATGCCCTTACAACCATTGTCCTCCATTTTGTGATATATTGTAAACCCTAGTCTCTATGTCTGTTTAACCAAGCTCATTGCCATCAAGTCAATTCTGTCCCATAGCAACCCCTTTCGGGTTTCCGAGGCAGTAAATCTTTATTGGAGTAGATTGCCCAGTCTTCCTTTCAAGGAGTGCCTGGTGGGTTTGAACTGCCAATCTTCTGGTTAGCAGTCAAATGCCTTAGGGCCTATACCACCAGAGCTGGTAGGATACATCTTAAGCCCCACCTTGATGGAGGGTGAGACTCAAGTCACCACCCATTTTGTGATGTAATGTAAATCTTATTCTCTATGCCTGTTTAGGGTGGGATGTATCTTGAGTCCCACCTTGCTAGAGGGTGTGACTCAAGTCACCACCCTTAGCTTCCTTGAGAGTACATACAGGAATGTTTTGGGAAAGTTTGCACTCTTGCTCCAGTTCCATGTTTGGCTTGTCATCATTTCACCCCTGGACTTGGGACAGCAGCTGCCAATCATGTGAGTTGGTTGACATTCAGCCAATCCCTGCAATCATGTGAGTTGGGAGAATCCTTCAGACCTACCCACAGACCTGGGACTTGCCAGCCCCCCAGCCTCCACTACCACCACATAAGCTGTTTCCTTGGGAGTTTGTGAGTTTTATGAGATGTTAAAGCGAACTACTGAGCTCTAAGATGAGAGGGAGATTATTGAGGGGAGGAGGAGAAGTTGATGTCAGAGATGATGGAGTGGCATGGCAGTTTGGAAAAGTTGGACATTTGGGACATCTTTAACCTCTGCCTCATAGCGACCAGCCTTGTGCTGATCTTTCTAAAAGAAATTATTCAAGCACAATGTTACCCATAATTTGTTATGATCCACACAGTCAAATGTCTTTTGCATAGTCAATAAAACACAAGTAAACATTTTTCTTGTATTCTCTGCTTTCAGCCAAGATCCATCTGACATCAGCAATGCCTGATATCCCTTGTTCCATGTTCTCTTCGGAATCAGAGTTGAATTTCTGCCAGTTCCCTGTCCCCGTACTGCTGCAACCATTTCTGAATTATTTTCAGCACAATTTTACTTGCATGTGATATTAATGATATTGTTCAATAATTTCCGCCTTCTATTGGATCATCTTTCTTTGGGATGAGCACATATATGGAACACTTCCAGTCAGTTGGCCAGGTACCTGTGTTGGTATAGATGACTCAGTGCTTCCAGTCTTGCATGCCTTTGTTGAAATATCTCAATTAGTTTTCCATCAATCACTGGAACTTTGTTTTTTGCCAATTCCTTCAGTGTAGCTTGGACGTCTTCCTTCAATACCATCAGTTCTTGATCATATGCTACCTCCTGAAATGGCTGAATGTCAACCAATTCTTTTTGGTACAGTAACTCTGTATATTCCTTTCATCTTCCTTTGATGCTTCCTACATCATTCAATATTTTGCCCATAGAATCCTTCAATACGTCAACTCAAGGCTTGAATTTTTTCTTCAGTTCTTTCAGCTTGAGAAATTCTAAGTGTGTTATTCCCTTTTGGTTTTCTAATTCCAACTCTTTGCACATTTCATTATGACACTTTATCCTGTCTTCTCAAGCTGCCCTTTGAAATCTAGTGTTCATCTCTTTTACTTCATCATTTCTTCCATTTGCTTTCGCTACTCTATGTTCCATAACAGGTTTTGCAGTTTCTTCTGACATCCATTTTGCTCTTTTCTTTCTTCCTTGTCTTTTTAACGCCTGTTTGCTTTCTTCATGTATGAAGTCCTTGATGTCATCCCACAACTCATGTGGTCTTTGGTCACTAGTATTCAAATCTATTTTCAGAAGGTGTCTAAATTCAGGTGAGATATACTCAAGGTCATATTTTGGCTCTTGTGTACTTGTTTTAATTTTATTTAGTTTCAACTTTCACTTGCATATGACCAATTGATAGTCTGTTCCACTGTTGGTCCCTGGCCTTGTTCTGACTGATATTGAGCTTCGCCATCATTTCTTTCCATAGATCTACAGATCTAGTTGATTTGGTTCCTGCGCATTCCGTTTGGCGAGGTCCACATTTATGTTATTGAAAAAAGGTATTTGCAATGATAAAAGACATTTGTAATGAGTAAGTCATTGGTTTTGCAAAATTCTATCATGTGCTCACCAGAGTCTTCTATCACCAAGGCCATATTTTCCAACTAATGATCTTTTTTCTATTTCTGACTTTTACATTCCAATCACCAGTAATTATCAATGAATCTTGATTGCATGTTTGATCAATGCCAGACTGCAGAAGTTGGTAAAACTCTTCAATTTTTTTATCTTTTGCTTTAGTTGGTGCATAAATTTAAATAATAGTCCTATTAATTGGTCTTCCTACTATCCTATACCAGACAGCATTATACTTTAGCATGGATCTTGAAATGTTCTTTTTGACTATAAATGCAACACCATTCCTCTTCAATTTGCTGTTCCCAGCCCAGATCATATGATTGATTGTCTGACTAAAAATGACCAATACCAGTCTATTTCAGCTCAATAATGCCTAAGATATTGACTTTTCTGTGTTCCATTGCATTGTTTACAATTCCT